GCTCACATTTGGCTTGGCAATAGAAAAACCTGTGTACACAAGAAATGCAGCAGAGTCACAGATTCATATCCATTTCATATCAAAAGTTCTGAAAAAGTGCTTTCTTTTTCAGAAAGCATTCTTATTACATCCTGAAGCTGAGACCTTTTGTCTTAGTCCCTTCTGGATACTGTAACAAAGTATCACAGTCTGGGTGGCTTATTTACAACAGAAGTTTGTTTTTCACAGTTCTGGAGGCTGGCAGTCCAAGATCAGGGTGGCAACATGAATGGGTTCTGGTGAAGGCCTTCTCATGGGTTGCAGATGGTCATCTTCACATTACATCCTCACATGGTGAAAAATGATCTCTCTGGAGCCTCTTTTATAGGGATACTAATCCTATTCACCCTGACCTAATCACTTAGTAAAGGTCTCATCTCCAAATACCATCACGTATGAACTGGGGGAACACATATAGATCACAGTAGAAACCAAACACCACCACTGCCTATCTTGTCTAACTGGGAAACCTGGTCTGTAGATGACCATTAAAACATTATTATGTGTGGTTTCTTTAAACACTGATTAGTCCATTAAATCATATTTCACATAGGAGTCTTTCATGTTTCCCTGAAACAATGCATATCTGGTCCATCAAGGCTCCTGCAAAACTGAGTCCATAGTAGATGTGAACATGTGAACTCAGGTCAGAGAGAGATGGATCATTAGTGAGAGTTTAGGGCTTTTGATCCTTTTGTGCATGGGTGAGTTTCAGGCAGGAAATCTCAGGGAAATTTTTGTACATATATATAACATGAGCACAGTTTGAGGAAGGAGAAAGAAAGTATGACTCACTCAGGCCACAGCTTTCAGAATAGCAAGGACCAATGAATCCTCCTCCAGTTTCCCTTCCTGGAGAAGAATGAGTCCTTAAAAGGCAGAAGCAAGGAGGGAGGAGAAAACAGAGGTCAGGTTTACCTCCCAGAAGGACATGTTGCAATTTTCTTCCTCATCTTGTGCCAACCTTCCAGTGTTCATGAAAACACTGAGCACTTTAGACAGACTTCTAAAATGTTCCCCACCCCCAAATTCTGCTCCTCCCATGTTACATGCCCTGCATGATTATAATTAAGCTACTAGTCAGTTGCCTTTGAGTTACCAAAAGGAAGATTATTTTTGAATGAGCCTGATCTAATCAGACAAGCCCTTTAAAAACAGAAGTCAGAAAGAGATGTGTTCCTGCTGCTCCCAAGGAAGAAAACGGGTGTTCTGAACTGCTGATGGAGAGGTGTGGCCCCGGGAGCTGAGAATGACCCTGGTGGATCCAGCAAGAAAAAGGGTACCCACGTCTGAAAGGCAATTAATTTTGCCAACAACTAGTAGCCTTGACAGAGAACCCTGTGCTCCAGGTAAAGTTGCAGTGTGGCAAATACCTTCATTGTAGCCTCGTGAAACCCCAAGCAAAGGACCCAGCTGAGCCATGCTGACTCCTATGGAAATTGGGAGATCATAAAGGATTATTGTTCTAAGCCTCTGAGCTTGTGATAATTTATTACACAGCAATAGAAAACTAATATGTTGAGGTTGATGGGGAGACTGTGGACATATCTCAGCCATCCCCAATCCTGAGAAACTATCACCAGCCCCAGTGAGGAAACAGGGATGAGGTGGCCCACCCATTCCAGTTCTCCAAATCCCCAGAGTTCCTGCTTCACCAGGAAGGATCCAGCCAGGTGACCAATGCATGCCTGATATGTTAATGGAGATACTAGGTGGGACTCTCACCAGGCAGAGCTGTCTCCATGGGTCCAAGCACCGGACACAACCTCATCAGAGCAGCACGCAGGACGAAGCTGGCTGCCCCTGGCCAAGGTGTGCAAGCCCAAACCAGGAACAACAACAAGGAAACAGCATAAACAGAGAATATAAACTAAGCATGGCTTCAACTATATGAAGAGCTCACGGAAGAAACAAAAATCACACTGCTGAATGGAAACAAACCAACCCGGGACTCCTGGGTGGCAGTTGAGCATCTGCCTTTGGCCTAGGGCATAATCCCAGATGTCCCTGGATCAAGTCCTGCATCAAGCTCCCTGCATGAGAGCCTCTCTCTGTGTTTCTGCCTCTCTCTGTCTCTCATGAATAATTTTTTTCTAAAAAAAGGAAGCAAACCAACCCAACCAAAGGATGTTGAGAAAGAACTAAATAGAAATTCTAGAAAAATTAAGTTATTGTGCTTAATTTTATCAACTGGCACTCAATGTCCATTCCTACATCCTCCTGGTTGAACTTCCTCTACCTTTCCAGGTCTTTGCATAAAAGACTGGACAGAAATAAAAGTCCACCCTTTAGTTGCCCTTGTGTGAAATTTGGATGACAGAGGCAACATCTCCTGCTGCTTTGGCTACCAAAAGGCAGTGGCAGTGATGGCAGAGCTGGCCTCCAGACTCCAGTGTCCATGCATTTGTGACAATAGTGGGTAGTGGTTTCACCATCTTATCTGATCCCTGGATTGCAAGTAAAGGAATGTGTACTGGGAGCTGGTGGTTCCTCTGGCAGCCTCCTGCATCTCTACCTCTTGACTGTGGCTGAGGTAACATGTTTTGAAGGTTCAGTTTTGCCACATTTTGGGAGACTAGAAAGAAGAATATTTTAAAAATCATAATATTTGAGTTGCATCTAGTCAGAAAGAATTTGCAAAGATTACATTCAAATATGTTTTAAATGGGTGATTCTATGAATGTTAGATAATTTATAGCTAGTTTATATTACTGAACTCAATACATTAAGGCTGTCTGCAGTTTCTTTACAGTGGCCTCCTTCCATTCACATACTTCTCCCCTCAGAGCCATGTCATTGCTCAGCTTTTAAAACTAAAAATGTTAGTTTTTCAGATCAGGATAGTACAGAGATGTGGCCATCCTTGAGCAGAGTGTGGTGGCTGGTCCCTGGCTCTCTCCTCCAACCCCACACATATCAATCCAGAGGATGGAGAATGACAGGAGTCTCAATTGCTGGTTCAGATCGGTCTCTCAAAATTCATTGGCTCTCATTTGGAGCAACATAATTTCTCCATCATGACTCTCCGGGGAACTCCTAGTGTTTGAATATTGAAAGCAATAATTTCTGACTTATAATGCTGGAAATAGACTGGGCTGAGTATCTGAAATTTTACCTTCTTGATTCTTCCAGCCATTCTTTTTTTTTTTTTTCTTCTTCCAGCCATTCTCTTTGCTTTTCTGCATCAATGTCTTCTCAAGGGACTGGACTTGAATTTTTGAATAGCAGTAGTGTGCAGGTCTGACTCATTTTCCTATATGCAGGGCTTAGCAGTTCTAAGCCAAATGTGATTGTTGGAGCAATGGAGCAGCCATTGCTGGTGAAGAGGAGCCTAGGTGAGCAAGAAGGGGAAAGGCATTGTGGGGGAAAAATGCTGCTCATCCATTTGGCAGGACAAGGCTTTTCAGGTTTTCCTCCTAAAAACCTGAGCTGAAAGCAGATGCTTAACCAACTGAGCCACCCAGGTGCCCCACAAATATAATGGTTTCTTAAAAATACGTTCATAGTTAGGAATGTTTACCATTAGATCATGGACATTTTTCCTTGTTCTGAAAAACCTTAAAGATACCATTCTTATTAACTCATAGTATTCTACCACATGGACATATGAGATCCTATGATTTGCCAAGTCATTGCTGATTGTAGGGCACTCCTCTCTGACAAGACCTTAAGGTCTTTCACAGACATCTGCTTCTAGACCATTTCCAAATTTTTCATTGGTGGCAGGTGGAGGTGGAGTCCAAACTCCAGTGAGACTGCCTTGGGTTGGAATGGAACCCCCAATATCCTTCACTTACCTATGCCTCAGTTCCCCAGTCTTTAAAATGAGATTGATGAGGGCACCTGGGTGGCTCAGGTGGTGAAACACCTGCCTTCAGCTCAGGTCGTCATCCCAGGGTTCTGGAATCGAGCCCCTCATCAGGCCCCCTGCTCAGTTGGGAGTCCGCTTTTCCCTCTCCCTTTGCTCTTCCCCCTGCTCCTTCTTTTTTTTTTTTTTTAATTTATTTATTTATGATAGTCACAGAGAGAGAGAGAGAGAGAGAGAGGCAGAGACACAGGCAGAGGGAGAAGCAGGCTCCATGCACCGGGAGCCCGACGTGGGATTCGATCCCGGGTCTCCAGGATCGCGCCCTGGGCCAAAGGCAGGCGCCAAACCGCTGTGCCACCCAGGGATCCCCCCCCTGCTCCTTCTTAAATATTTTTTAAAAATATATTAAAAATAAAATGAGATTGATGACATCATATACCTTGAAGGGTTGCTATGAGGACTGCAGTTAAAACCATGCAGTTACTGCAGTGCTTGCTACAATCAGGATCCTCTCTGATCCCTGATGTTCATTTTCCATCCACTGAGCCTCACCCTTGTCCTGGACTACAAATCCACATTGTCCTTGTATTTGGGATGGAACCCCAAAATAAATTTGCCTTCAATTACTTTAACTTCTGTCCAGCTCTGGTTTTGTTAACAGACAGGGGGAAGGCAAAGATACCTCAGAGAATCAGTACAACTACAGTCCTCTTCCTGGGGAAAACGCAAGTGCAAAGACAAAAGCAAAAGCAGATGGGTGCCTGGGTGGCTCAGTGGTTGTGCATCTGCCTTTGGCTCAGGTCGGGTCCTGGGATTGAGCCCCATATTGGGCTCCTCATAGGGAGCCTACTTCTCCCTCTATATCTCTGCCTCTGTGTGTGTCTCTCATGAATAAATAAGCATTTTTAAAATGAAAGAAAAGTAATGGGTTGAAAATAAAAGGATGAGCAAAAATATACCAGGTAAACAAAGAAAAATCATTGTCAGTAGTGTTATCCTGAAATAAAATGTCAGAGGGGTTACATACACTAGCCCAGGGTTGGCAAGTCAACACAGGCTTTGCGACTATAGTCTTTGTTGCAACCACTTAGTTCTGCTGTTGCAGCACCAAAGCAGTGGACATGTAAATAAATGAGCATGGCTGTGTTCCAATAAAGCTTTATTTATAAAACAAGCAGCAGGCCAGATTTGGTTTCTCAACTCCTACACTTGGCAGAGTAGGATAACTACAGAATGATAAAAAGTATGATTCATCAATAGGAGTTAAGTTGTAGGTCTTTGTAAATCAAGCAACATAAATTAAAAATCTAAAAATTCAAGATTTTGGCTTAAAAAAATCATCTTAGGAAATTCCGATCCAGTGTACCAAATTATATAAACCTGGAGAATTTTATCATTATAATCCACCAGCTTAAACAGAATCTTGTAACCAAGAAAAGTAGAATATATATTTTTCAACATTACAGAATAGATACAAAAATCAATCCTGTATTTAACCACCAAGAGAAATGCTGAATTCAAAAAAGTAGATATTTTCAGGCCATATTTACCAATCTTAGTTGTAAAATAAAATTTGGTGTTACATAATTAGGATGGTTTTGGATCCAAGTTTACAAAATATCCAACTAAAAGTAATTTCAGCAATAGAAGTTTATTTTTTCCTACACAAGGCTTCAGAGAGCTCCAGAATTGGCCTTGTAGCTCTGGGTCAGCTTCTCTGAGGTCCTTGGTTTTCTCCTTTTGGTTCCAACATGGCTGCAACAGCTCCAGGCATTATGTTCTCATAGGAGAATGTTTAAAAGCAGAGGAAAGGAAAGAAATCTTCCTAATAGATGTTTCTTCTAAATGAGAGAAATCTTTCTCAGAAGCCTCTACAGATCCCTGGAATATACCGGCCTTACCCTGGTACATATAAGCCATCCTGAGCTGTGGAAGAGGCTGAAAAGTTAGCATATGGTATCTTCAGAGACTAAGGCAAGACATAGATACTGCTAGTAGAAAAGGGAACTGGGCATGGCTATGTAAGCAACCAACTCCTTTTTGTGACAAAATTTATGAAAGATAACCTAAAACAAGATGGAAATTGAGTAATACTATCTTAAATTTTATTTTGGGATCAGAAAGAAATAAAAACTGAGATTATATGAATAACCACTTTCTAATTTCATTATTTTTTATTTTTATTTTGTACCAATTTGTCTTTCATCACCTTGATGTTTGGTATTGTCTTTTCTGGCTTCTTGAATAGTACATTTAATATACTCCAGAATAATCTTTCAGGTTTTCATGCTTTGCATGCATTTAAAAGCTAAAATTCTTCTCAGTAACTTTAGCCCACATCCTACAACTCCTGGAATGTAAATCTCTCGATTGTTATTCTTTTTACTTCATTCATAAATCAAGCATGAAAATTTGCATGATTTATTTCCTTATTAGCCCAAGAGTAATGGAGTGCCTGGCTGGCTTAAGTCAGTAGAGCACTTGACTCTTGCTCTCAGGGTCATGAGTTTGAGGCCCACATTGGGCATGGTGCCTACTTAAAAAAAAAAAAAAAAAGAAAAGAAAAAAGAAAAAAAGAAGTTGAGCCCAGAGTAATTTGGTTGGGTTTTTTTTTTTTTCCTTTTTAATTGCTAAGAAAATTAAAGCTTTTGGCTGTTGCTAAAATTATTACAGCATGGTTAGAAAATGTGATCCCATATTGTGTTAGAGACAAAATTTTTTCCAACTTTTCCTTGCTTCTTTCATAATCATGGTCTCAACAATTTATATTCATAAAATGTTTCATTATGAATCTTAGAACTCAAGATAAAGGATAGCTTGAATGAAGGCATTTCCATTTGCATTACATTCTTCAAGTCTTTCCCCAAAGCATAAGAAGTTGTGACTAGCCTAAGCTAATGGGCTCTCCCCATTACTTCCACTCATATGTTTGCTTGCTAACATCAATTCTCTAATGATTAATAAAGGATAAGTGCTGATGGAAGGCTTTTCTACATTTATGATATTCATTTGTGTTTCCCTATTATGCATTCTCTGATGCTGAAAAGTAGTTGAATCATGATGTAAAGTCCTCCCACGTTCCTTATAGCCACAGGGCTTTTCCTCAGTATGAATTACCTGATGTTGAATCAGCTGTGAGCAATGACCAAAGGCCTTCCCACATTCCTTACATTCATATGGTTTCTCACCTGTATGAATTCTATAATGTACAGTAAGGTGTGAGACCCGTTTGAAAGCCCTACTGCATACCCTACATTGGTAGGGTTTCTCTCCAGTGTGAATTCTCTGATGTTGCTTAAGTTGTGAGCTTACCCTAAAGGCCTTCCCACATGCCTTACATTCATAGGGTTTCTCACCGGTATGGATTCTCTGATGTCTAATGAGAGTTGAGCCCTGATTAAAGGCCTTCCCACATTCCTTACATTCATAGAGTTTCTTGCCTGTATGAATAGTCTGATGTTGAATCAACTGAGACCGATGACCAAAGGTCTTCCCACATTCCTTGCATGCGTAGGGTTTTTCACCAGTATGAATTCTATAATGTACTTTAAGATGTGAGATCCTATTGAAGGCTTTGCCACATTCCTTACATTGATAGGGTTTCTCACCAGTATGAATTCGTTGATGTTCAATCAACTGGGAGCTTCGACTAAAAGCCTTTGCACAATCCTTACATTCATAAGGTTTTTCACCAGTATGAACTCTCTGATGTTGTATGAAATTTGAACCAGAATTGAAGGCCTTTCCACATTCATTACATTCATAGGGTTTCTTGCCAGAATGAATATTCTCATGTTGAATGAGTCGTGAGCCATATTTAAAGGCCTTGCCACATTCCTTACATTTATAGGGTTTCTCATTAGTATGAATTCCTTGATGACTAATAAGGAAGTCCTCCTGCCAGAAGTCTTTTCTATATTCATTATATCCATAGAGTTTTTCTCCAGTATGAATTTTCTGGTAAAAAGGAAATGATGCTTGTTGGTTGAAAGTGGACATTTCTTCAGGATTGATTATCATTGGACTCAAATGTCCATCTGATTTTCCCTGTTGTCTGTCAAACTGGCTTATGCATTCCCAATCATCTTGGAACCTGGAGCACTCAAGACCATAACTTGTAAGGCTTTCCATTATCTCCCACTGTGGTGATTGTATTTCATAAAGGTGCTGCTCTGGAGATGACACTTTGGTATCACGCCTGGACTCCAATACTGAAAACAAAACAAAACAAAAAAAAAGCAAGTATGTGTTTTTTCCTTTTCCAGAAAAAGGAACTTTTTTCTGGAAAATCAGAAAACTTATACTCATGATTATACCTATAAACTCTTGAATGTGGCTAAGCAATTGGAAAATGGGTAAGTAGAAGAGACAGAGGAAATACCATAAATTGAAATGAAGAGTCAGAGGGAGGTTATAAGAATAGTTCTAAAATGTTAGTGTAGATCAGGATCACCTCTGAACCATATTTTTATTTTATTTTTTTAATATTTTTTTTTAATAAAGGTTTCTATGAACTCCCAAAAAACACAAATATAACCTAGAGTGACAGAAGAAATCACTGGTTGCCGGGGGTTGGGTATATGAGCAATTGTGTGGGAAAGGAGCACAAGGGAACTTTTCAGAGTGGTGAAAATGTTCTCTAGTCTGTGACAGTTATACAAGCGTGAACATTTGTCCATTCTCATCAAAACATTGTACTTAAAATGCATGCATTTTGTTGAATATAAATATACCTCAATAAAGCAGATTTTAAAAAAACAATGGGGAAGGGTGGCTGGTCAGAGGTACGGGTTGGTGCATCTGCTTGCCAGGGGATTCAGTAGGATGGGGTTGTTGGGGTGTGTGTGTGTGTGTCTCTCACATGTCCACTGGAAGTTGTAACAACACAGCTGTGGTCCTCTGCCATGAAGACAACATGCTTCTATCTCTTCTGCTTTCTATCTCGGAAGTTTAGCTGAATACTATGGCTTAGACCTAGTGTCTACTAAATCGGTCTCTCCTGGACCTTTTCATTGCCTAAATGTGGCTATGGAAAAAGGGCCTTGTTCCTTGTTTGGAGGATTAGGCCCCAATTTAATGGGGGTGGCTTCTTCCAGAGCAACATTTTTTGCTGCTTATTCAAACTGCAAGAAATAGCCAACTGAATCAGCCCAATCTTCAAAAGAACATCCTGTTTCGATTGAATTACCGTAGTGACTTTGTCATAAATCAAACTACCATACATGTGTTTCTGATTCTGGATCTGTTCTTTTCCAGTGATCAATTTATTTTGGGATGCTTAGGTGGCTCAGCGGTTGAAAGTCTGCCTTTAGCTCAGGGTGTGATCCCAGAGTTCCGGGACTGAGTCCCACATCAGGCTCCCTGCATGAAGCCTGCTTCTCCTACCTGTGTCTCTGCCTCTCTCTGTGTCTCTCATGAATAAATAAATAAAATCTTTAAAAAAAAATTATTTTGCCAATACCACATTTTCTGAATTTTGTGGATTTATTACAAGTTTTAATATTTATAATGTAAGGTTTCCAATTTTTCTTCTTTTAATTCAAGATTATTTTGCAATGTTTTTTCAGACACCATGTTTGGTTGTTCAGAAGGAAGGTTATGGTCTGATAATTCTAGTGAGACAGGTCCCAAATATAGCCACTATGATGGCAACCTATGAATTGGTGGTTGACCTACTCAAAAGTTACCAACACCTGACTGCCATCCCATATAGAACAACCATAAGACTGAAGGGGAACATGGAAAATTAAAGTCAACTTCACAGAGAAGACTACTTTGTGAACATTTAACATGCCTAAATGGAAATCTGGTTTATAAAATTAAAGGCAGGCACATTACTTGCTTTTTGGACAATGCGGAAAGAACCTGGGTTGCCTGTAAGGGCATGCCTTAAAAACAATTCCCTGGGGATGCCTGCATGGCTCAGTGGTTAAGCGTCTGCCTTTGGCTCAGGTTGTGATCCTGGAGTCCTGGGATCAAGTCCCACATCAAGATCCCTGCAAGGAGCCTGCTTCTCCCTCTGCCTATGCCTCTGCCTCTCTCTCTCTCTCATGAATAAATAAAATCTTTAAAAAAACAAACAATTCTCTGTCCAGACTGCCACTTTTTCTATTTTTCTATCATAGACCCTGACAGTTTTGTTGATTGATGGCAGAGTACAGTGTTGTTTATTACATAACCCCTTTTACACTGATCTAAATTAAGCCATCTCTAATTATACATTGCACTGTAAGCATCCAAAGATAGCACTGACAGTCAAAATAATTTTCTGACTTCTGTCCAACACTCTATGAAGTTGCAATATAGCAATAATAATAGTGAGGTCTTCTATACTAACTTGGTATTTTTCTGACAGGGACTGGCAGAGTATTTTAAAGTTAATTATTTAGCTTAATAGTCACTGATTTGGATAACCAAAGAAATACCTCTAAAAATCTTACACACAGTCTTAGCATTAAGATATTTTAGTATCCTCATATGAAGAAACCTCAAGGGATCCCAATAGCCAAAATAATCTTGAAAAGGAGAACGAAGTTGGAAGTCTCACACTTCCTGATTTCAAAACACACTGCAAAGCCACCATAATCAAAACAGTGTTGTACTGGCATTAAGGCAGCCATAGAGATCAATGGAATAGAACAGAGAGATAAACCCCCATGCACATGGTCAAATGATCTTTGATAGGGCACCAAGACAACACAATTAAGAAAGGACAGTCTCTTTAACAAATGGTTCTGAAGAAAGTGGATATCCACATGCAAAGCAATGAAGCAGGACTCTTACCCTGCACATATACAAAAACTAACTAAAATATATGAAAGACCTAAATGTAAGACCAAAAAATATTAAGTTCCTAGAAGAAAGCACAGGGGAAAAACCTCATGACATTGCATTTGGCAATGATTTCTTGGATATGGCACTCAAGGCCCAGGCAACAAAAGCAAAAATAACAAATGAGGGACGCCCGAGTGGCTCAGCGGTTGAGAGTCTGCCTTCCACCCAGGGTGTGATCCTGGAGTCCTGGGATTGAGTCCCACATCGGGCTCCCTGCATGGAGCCTGCTTCTCTTTGCCTATGTCTCTGCCTCTCCCCCTCTATGTCTCTCATGAATAAATAAAATCTTAAAAAAAAAAAAAAAAGAGAGAGACAATATCAAACTTAAAAGCTTTGAGGCATTGGGGCACCTGGGTGGCCAGTGGTTGAGTGTCTGCCTTCGGCTCAGGTCATGATCCTGGGGTCCTGGGATTGAGTCCTGCTTCAGGCTCCCTGCAGGGAGTCTGCTTCTCCCTCTGCCTATGTCTCTGCCCCCTCTCTGTATCTCTCATGAATAAATAAACAAAATCTTAAAAAAAAAAAAAAGAATAGGAAACAATATTTCCTAATCATATATCTAATAAGGATTTACTATTTAGGATATATAAAGTAGTACTACAATTCAACAACAAACAAACTACCCTATTAAAAAATTGGGAAAGGACTTGAATAGACATTTCTCCAAAGAAGGTATACAGATGGCCAAGAAGCATATGAAAACATGCTCCACATCACTTAGAGAAATCCAAATCAAAACTATAATGAATCATACCTCAAAGCCATTAGGATGGCCTCTATCCAAACAAAACAAAACAGAAAATAACAGGTGTTGATGAGGATTGGGAGAAATTGGAACCACTGTGCCCTGATGGTAGGAATATAAAATGGTGCAATTACTACAGGAAATAGTATGGGGGGGGGCGCCGGGGGGGCTCAGTTAGTTGTGTCTGACTCTTGGTTTTGGCTCAAGTCATGATCTCATGGGTTGTGGGATTGAGCCCTGAGTCAGGCTCCTCACTCAGGAGGGAATCTACTTGAAAGATTCTTTCCCTCTGCCCCTCCCCCTACTCATGCATGTGCTCTTTCTCTCAAAAGAAAGAAAGAAGTAAACAAAGGAAGAAAGAAAGAAAAGAGGGAACAAACACAGGATAGAGGGACACCTGGCTGACTCAGTTGGAAAAGCATGCAACTCTTGACCACAGGGTCATGAGTTTGAGACCCATGTTGGGTGTAGATTATTTAAAAAAATAACAACAAAAAACAACATGGAGAGTTCTAAAAAATTAAAAATATAATTACCATATGATACAGCAACTCCACTTCTGAGTATATATCCCAAAGAACTGAAAGAATCTGAAAGAGACACCTACACACCCATGTTTACTGCAACATTACCCACAATACCCAAGAGGTGGAAGCCATCCAAATGTCCATTGACAAATGAATGGCTAAAAAATTGTGGTACATACATACAGCCTTAAAATGGAAAGAAATCCTGTCACATGTTAAAACACGGATTAACCTTAAGGTCATCATGTTAAGTAAAAGAAGTCAGACTCAAAAGGCCACATATTATATGACTCCATTTATGTGAATATCCATAATAAGACATTCCAGAGATGGAGAGCAGATTACCTGTTGCCAGGGGTGCACTGGGGGAGGGGGGAGAAGAGAGGGAGAGAGGGCATGAGGAGTGACTATTTAATGAGTATATATGGGGTTTCCTCTGAGGTGTGTTTAGGAAAAACACCCCTTTCAACACTCTACTATTCATACTGTTCTTCTGACCCTACTGATGACAAAATGTGTATGGATTTCTCCCTCATACCAGGTAATTCTCCAACTCTGGATACCAATTGGGTGTCCTACAGATTTAGGTTAATTTTCAAACTATCTTTCTGCAGATAACATCAGGTCCTACAGGTTAAGAGCTCAGGCCACAGACTACCTCTGGTCCCCTCACCTCCTACCCCAATAAACTGGAGGTCCCCACAACCCCTTCTGGGGTTCAATCATTTGATAGAATGGCTTACAGAATTCAGGAAAACAATTTACTTACTATATTACCAGTTTATTACAAAGGACATAACTCAGTATCAGTCACATTAAAGAAACGCAAAGGAAAAGGTATAGAGGAAGAGGGTGGAGATTCCTCTCCAAGTACACCACCTGCCAAGTACCTCCATGTGTTCACAACCCAGAAGCTCTCCAATCCTTGTACTTTAGAGATTTTTATGGAAGCTTCACTACATAGGCAGGATTGATTAAATCATTGCACTTTGGTGATTCAACCTTTAGGTCTCTCCAGAGTTTGAGAGATGGGGCTGAGTGTTCCAATTCTCTAATTACAAAATCCAAGCTCATCCTGAAGCTATCCAGGCACCCCCAAACACAGTCATCTCATTAGCATACAAGAAGACACTTATTACTTTAGAGATTCCAAGGGTTTTAAGAGCCGTGTGCCAGAAAACAGGAGTGAAAACCACAGGGTGATAAAAATATTCTGAAACGAGATAATGGTGATATTGCACAACACTGTCAATGTACTAGATGCCACTATACTATACACATTAAAATGGTTAAAAGGTGAATTTTGTTACATATATTTGTGAATTTTTTTAAATTAAAAAGAGCATTTCCAATAACAGCAATAAATATACAATACATAGGAATAAACATATTAAGAAATGTAGGGGATCCCTGGGTGGCTCAGTGGTTTGGCGCCTGCCTTCAGCCCAGGATGTGATTCTAGGGTCCCAGGATTGAGTCCCACATCGGGCTTCCTGCATGGAGCCTGCTTCTCCCTCTGTTTCTCTGCCTCTCTCTCTCTGTCTCTCATGAATAAATACATAAAATCTTTTAAAAAAAAATGTACAAGACTCATATAAATAAAACTTTAAAACCACTAGGGGATGGACATAAATGAAGAGAAAAGCCTACCATGTCCTTAAATAGATAAAATCAATAAAAAATAAGTTTTCTCCTCATCTATAAATTTGTGGTGATCTCAGTAAGAATAATTACATGATTTTTTTTAAACCAGATATTCTTTTTTAAAGTCCAGATGGAAAAAAAAAATTAAAAAAAAAAAAGTCCAGATGGAAACTTGAACGATTATAGCCAGGAAAATTCTGAAAAAGAATGAGGAGGAACTAGTCTACCAGATATTTAAAACCTTTAATAATTAAAACAGTATGGTATTGGACACATAGTTGACAAAGAGACTGAGATAGAAACAAACAAACAAACAAACAAAAAAAAGTCCAGGAGAAAAAGAGTAGATGATAAAGGTGGCTATACAGATTAGTGGTGAAAAGATAAAATTAGTTAATGCTGTTTGAATAAATGGGTAAGAACCTGGAAAATAGTGTGAAATCACATCCTCCACAGGTAAACTCCACAGGGATCATAAGCAGCACCATAATTATACTACTAGCAAAAAACCACAGGAGACTCATGTATAATGTCAAAGGGGTAGTCCTCTTTGATTATGTTGTAAACCCACATCATCTAAGAAGTAAATAAAACTCAGGACCTCAAACAATCAAACACACACATGCCTTCAAATGACACAAACCAAAGCAAAAATGGTATCATGGGTGTGGCTGACAGAATAATGGCCTCCCACAGATGCCCACATCTAATCCCTAGAACCTGTGCAGATGTCAGGTAATGCAGCAGCACACATCTCCTCTCTGGATGCTCACTCTGCACCTGACCTCACTTACTCCTAGGGGCCAACTCCCAATTCAGTGTGGAAGAATCCACCACATCTGTAGTGTTAAGTCCTTACAGTACATTGTATATGGTAGAAACTCTTTATCAACACACACATTCTTGGTCTCGCATCACACCTGGACTTTGGCTCTCATTCAGGGAAGATTCTGCCCCCTGGAGGACACCTGGCCATATCTGGAACATTTTTGATTGTCACAACTGAGGAGAGGCAAGTATACTGGCAACTAGTTGAGTAGAAGCCAGGGAGGCTGCTGAACATCCTACAGTACATGGGATGCCTACCCACTGCCCCCACCCCCCACCCTGTGTCAACACTGCTGAGCTTGAGGAAACCCTTCACCCAGAGCAAGAAGCCCCAAGGCAGGAACATGCTTGCTGTACCAAGGCTAGGGTGGGTAAACTTGTACTGTCTGCTCTCATGCTACTACAGCATAGCTGGGTAGTTGTGACAGAGACCATATCTGGCCCACAAAGCCTAAAATATTTATTGTCTGGCCCCTTTGAGAAAACATTTACCAATCCCTACGTTAAGGGAACAGCAAAGAGGCTTGTGTGGCTGTAGCCGAATGAACAAGAAGAGTAGCAGGAGGGAAAATCAGAGAGGAAGCAGGAAGTGAATCATAGAACACAGTCCAATAGAACTTTCTATGATGCCAAAATGTTCTATTCTGCCCTAATATGGTAACCACTGGCTACATAAGTCTACTCAGCTTTTGAAATGTGGCTACAGGCTACCATGGAATGGAATGTCACATTTTATTTAATTTTAGTTAGGGAAGCCTGAGTGGCTCAGCCACTGAATGCCTGCCTTTGGCTCAGGGCGTGATCCCAGATCCCCAGGTTGGAGACCCACATCGGGCTCCATGCATGGAGCCTGCTTCTCCCTCTGCCTGTGTCTGCCTCTCTTTCTGTATGTCTCTCATGAATAAATAAAATCTTAAAAAATTTTTTTGATTTTTTAAAAAATTTTTTTAAAGAATTTATCTATTTATTCATGAGATACACAGGAGAGGGAAAGAGAGGCAGAGACACAGGCAGAGGGAGAAGCAGGCTCCATGTAGGGAGCCTAACATGGGACTCGATCCCGGGTCTCCAGGATCACACCGTGGGCGAAAGGCAGGCGCTAAACTGCTAAGCCACCCAGGGATCCCCTAAAGCTAAATTTTAAACAGCACGTGTGGCTGGTAGCTACTGTGTTGGATAGCATATAGAGGGTCCTAGGCTAGGATATCGATTTCGGATTTTATCTTGAGATGGAAATGTGCTAGTAGGTCTTGACCAGAGACAATACACCCTCACTGAAGTTTTAAGGTCCCTGTGGCTGCTGTGTGGACAATACACTGTAGTGGGCAATAGAAGCAGCGGAATGGGGAGGAGGCTACTGCAATAGTCCAAGCCAAAGACAATGGTAGCGTGGATGGAATGGCAGCAGTGGTGCCAGTAAGAAATGGTTAAATTCTGGACATATTTCAAGGTAGAGCCAATAGGATTTGCTGACAGACTGAACAGGTATGCGAGAGAGAAAACTCAAGAATGCCTTAATTAAGAGTTTTTGACTTGAGGGACACCTGGGTGGCTCAGTGGTTGAGTGTCTGCCTTAGGCTCAGGTCAAGTTCTGGGATCGAGTCCCACACTGGGCTCCCTGTGGGAAGCCTGCTTTTCCCTCTGCCTGTGTCTCTGCCTCTCTTTGGTGTCTCTCATGAATAAATAAATAAATAAAAGAGAGAGAGAAGAGCAAATTGTTAGAGAGGACCAAGGACTCCTTTCTGGACTTGTTAAGTTCAAAGTCCCCAATAAACGCTGAAGTGGATATAATGAAGGCAGCTGGATACAAGTATCCAGGATTTAAAGGAAAAGTTGAAGATGATGGAAATATTCTGTATCTGTATTGTCCAACACGGTAGACACAAGCCACAAAGTGGCTACTGGACTTCTGAAATGTGGCAAGGGCAACCGAGGTACTGCTTTTTAAAATGTATTTAATTATAATTAATTTAAATTACAACAGATATGGGGCCAATGGCTCCACACTGGACAACACAGGTACAAATGGTATTTAAAGCATGGTAACGGAGAAGGTCCTAGGGAATGAAAATAAACAGAAAAGAAGAAACTCAAGTCTGAGCTCTGGGGTGCTCCAACATTTAAAGAAAGTGAGAAAATCCCATCAAAGGAGGCTGAAGATGGTTTAATGAGGGGGTAGTAATGACCCAAATACACAGAAATGTTTTGGGAATGAAAGGAACATCCACTTTTGTGAAATGCTGTTGATAAGCTACAAAAGATGGTAACTGGGACCTGACCTCTGAGTTTGGCATCTTGGAGGGAAGATTTTCTAACTCAAAAATCCTGTTTCCTTGTCCACATACCAGACGGCTATCTGTGGTGGCTTCTCTCTTCCCCCACAGGCCTCACTCACCTGGGCACAGGCCTCCTGTAGCTGCTTTCTCCACCATCCAGGGCTCTTTGCCTTGCTCCAGGAAGGAGATCACATCAGGTTTGGAGATGGCAAGACCTGGGTGTGAGAAAAAACACACCAACCCGTTATGGCGCAGGTCCCCAGAATTCAGATCTAGGACCTTGGCATTGACCAGGAGAGGCAGTTGCAGAAGAGATCCAATGTGAGACCCAATGTGACAGTCACCTGAGGACTGAGGAAAATGTACTATCAGCCCGTGGAGCTGCTCCTTGACCTCTCAAAAGGTACTCAGAAATGGATAAGGAACAGATATGCTGAGGGTAACATCCAAACTCATATACCAGGTCATCTTACCCAGTGAGACTAGGTTACTGTAGGTCTCCAACATCACGTCTCTGTACAAATCTCTCTGAGTGGGTACCAGCTGTTCCCATTCTTCTTGGGAGAAGACTATAGCCACATCCCTGAACAAGTCTGACTCCTGAAACAACAGGCAGGTATGTTATTTGCATATTTCAAGAAAATGTTTCTTGGTGGGATGAGAGGAGGTAGAGGAGGTCTTTGTAGGAATGGAGTGTTTGGTAAAAGAGAAGGATGGGGCTGGACGCCTCCAATGTGAGCAGATGACAAGAGAGGGTGGGCATGAGTACAACAGTGCTGAAATGTTTTGGATCATTCCTTTTTACTACAAACCAAAGCTCTGTACAAAGATCTAGAAAGAAAATTAAAATTTAGCAAAGTGGACTTTTCCCAATTATGACAAGCAGTATAATAAAGTGTGTTGACTACTGTCCTTGGCATATAAAATTCTCAATGAGAGAACTATAATTTCTACTTTTGTACAATAACAACAAACCAAGCAACAATTTTTGTTAGATTTACCCTCAAAAGTTTTATTAAAGAAACGTTTTCTTAGAAAAGAGGATTTTCATACAAATTGAGAATTTGTTGAAGATGTCGGTTTATCATTTTGTCAGAACATATCAAAGCATATTTCCTTATGAGAAAAATCTTAAATTAAGATTACTTTTATTAGCTGTACAATTTTCTATCAAGTGAAAAAATGACTCAACCATTCTCTTATTTTGGATACAAACGTTGGATCAGATCTCTGAAGGCTCTTCCAAGTTCTAACTATACAGATTCTGAAAAATTCATCCACCTGCTCAGTTGCCTTACAATCCTCTCACCTCTGTGTTCCTCTCACTCTCAAGCTAAAGAAGCTGCTATAGGATGATCCACATTCAAATGCTCTGTTTGACCTCAAACCAGACCTTAGTTCTGGCATCTAACCTCTCATATATACTCAGCTAAGCCTCAATTACACACCCAATCATTAATCCCTCCAAAAGCAGGAGATCGTGCCTAAGACCGAGACCAGTTCCCATGCTTTTCCATGTCATATCCCTCATTAAGTATTCATTTCCATTTCATCAAACCTTGGTTGTTAGTTTATACAAGGAGATGGATTTCTGCTCTGTCTAGGCTTCTGGAAGAATACCACACCATCAGAAAATAACGAATGCTATACAGAATGAACCCATGGGCACTGGTCAGAGTGGAGGGGGCAGTGAGAGAGGGTACCAGCTGCCTGGTCTTTTTAGTCCCTAAAGTGGGAACCTCTAAGAACCAGATTCTTGGCTGAAACCTAGGTGGGAGGCTTCAAGATAAAGAAAGCAAATATTTACATGATTTGAAAACTCACAAGGGACATGACTTTTAGAACTTCATGGGCTGATGGGTCTTCCTCCTGGTTCCTCTCTTGAGGGAGGGCCGAGTCCTGAGATGACAAAGCTGGGAGAGGAAAGAGCAAACATGAAAGGCCAGGCTTGCCTTATAGCTCCCAGAATGCCATGGCTACAAGTCCCCACCGTTCTATCCCCCACTCCTCACAAAAACTAGTGAATTGGAACATTGAGGCCCTTACCCAAGTCCAGGAAACACGGCTTTAGCTGCTGCAATGAGACAGGGAACCAGTGGCCCTTTCTCTCTCACTTCCCCTAAAAATCCAGAGAATCCCACCTTGTTACTGATGCAAATCTGTGATGGAGATGCTCAGTCCTGGTTCAGTGACTAAGACCACGTGGTGTCCCAGGCCAGGGAGCACAGCCTGCTTGATCAGCATCAACCCATCCCGCAATGAAACCTTCCCAGAAACAGACCATTTAACTCTTTCATGTCCACAATGAAACACCTTCAGAGGTCTCCCCGGCTCTTTACTCAACTTCCAAATTCACCGAGAAACTTACAGCCCTACCTAAAGCCTGGCGGACACCACTTTGTGGACTCTGCTTTGAGTCAACAAATGGGATGTGGTTACAACAGGCAAATTAGTTGGCTCCATTATCATCACATAAATATGCCCATGGACAGATTTAACAGTGAGGAAAGCCGCATACACAAAGTTTACTGAAAAACAGAACAAAAATTAGTATGTGACAGTCCAGAAATAGGCAAGTGGTTGAATCATTTTTGGCCCAGTCATATGACAGAACACCAACCAACTATGAAAGCTAATGTGCAGGTGGAGCAACTGGGTGGCATAGTGGCTGAGCGTCTGCTTTCAGCTCTGGTCATGAGTCCCACATCAAGGTCACCATGGGGAGTCTGCTTCTCCCTCTGCCTATGTCTCTGCCTCTCTGTGTCTCTCATGAATAAATAAATAAAATCTTTAAAATAAAATGACGTGGGGCAACATTTACGGACAAAAAAAGATACAAGTGCTCTCTTTATAGAACATGAGAACATTCTGAAAAAGAGGGCAAACCTCCCACCTATTGGCACTTGGGCTTAAAAAAAACAAACTGGATACAAAAATCCAAGTATTAAGACTGATGTCATTTAACCACTTTGTGAGTTCATCATTAAACAAGTAGTATTTTATAAAGGAACTCAGAACAGGGGATCCCTGGGTGGCTCAGCGTTTTGGTGCCTGCCTTCCGCCCAGGGCATGATCCTGGAGTCCTGGGATCGAGTCCCACATCAGGCTCCCTGCATGGAGCCTGCTTCTCCTATGTCTATGTCTCTGCCTCTCTCTCTCTCTCTGTGTGTCTCTCATTAATAAATAAAATCCTTAAAAAAAAAAAAAGGAACTCAGAACGCCAGACATATTGCAAACATTTAATTTTAAATAATGTGTAAATAAAGTAATGAATCGTCCCTTAATAACATGTGATAGAAATTTTTTTCTTAGTATGACCACTGCTCTAGCATTATCTGTAATAGCTTTATGGTATCTTATTAACTGAATGGCCCATGATTTATTCAACCATTTCCCCATTGTTGGACACACATCTTTTACATGATCATCTAAAATGTTCTCAAGGGACGCCTGAGTGGCTCAGCGGTTGGGTGTCTGCCTTTGGTTCAGGGCGTGATCCCAGAGTCCTGGGATCGAGTCCCACATCGGGGTCCCTGCGAGGAGCCTGCTTCTCCCTCTGCCTATCTCTGCCTTTCTGTGTCTCTCATGAATAAATAAATAAAATCTTTTAAAAAATAAATAAAAATAAAGTGTTCTCAATTTTGAGTCTCTGCTTCTAAAATAGTGGTGTTAAATCTTTTGAGGTTTTGAAAAAGATTTCGTCCCAAATTTAAAAAAAAAGGCATGCATAGGGAAGACTAAAACATCCACCTGCATTTTGGGGAGTCGGGACCCCTTCATACCCACCTAACGGGTCCATGGACCGGGGCTGTGCGCCTGAGCGCGGAAAGGGGGCGTTCGCGGACCGCGCGCCGCGGAGCCCGAAGGGAAATGTAGTCCAGAGCCCGGAAAGTCGCAGCCAGACGCCTGGGCGAAACGTTCCGGTTCTAGCCAGGCCCGAGAGCGGCTCGGGCGTGGCGCCCGCTCCCGCACGGACCCCGGTGCGCCTGGCAAGCTCCAGAGCCCCTCACCTGCCGCCTCCTCGAGTTCAAGTGCCACCGTGGCCGCGTTTCCCGCAGCCCGGGGTGCGCTTCTTCCTCGGTATCGGCGGACCCGCCGCCTGGAGCCGGAAGATGGCGCAGGCGCACAAAGCACCACCGACACAGCCTCGCGATTGGACCATCGCCGCAGTCACTTCTGGGAAAGGTGGTCTCCAGGCACTAAGGGGTCGCCAAGCCTCAAGGCCGGCTCTCGCGATACTTGGGCGTGGGTTGGAGGGAGCCGGGCGTGTTTAGGGGTGGTGGCAGGCAGTCTGGGGCCCCCGGGAGTGCGTAGGAGTCGGCTGGTCCCTCGGGAAGGTGTGCGTGTTCGCGTCTCTGGTGGCAGGAACATTGTACGTTTATGCGGTTCGGTTCAGACCGCCTTGGGTATAATTGGTACCAGTCCACTCTGGTGTGTGACAGTGTCTGAAAATGTTTCTCATTTATTAAATAATTGTTTCTGCGGAGCAGCCATTTTATCAGAATTTTCAGAGGGAGGAAAAAGCCGGAATTTATCTGGTCACTAATTTTAAATGTTATCTATGTTGAAGTAAATGTAGGTTCGGAAGGAGAGAGCTTCTAGAATGAGCAAAATATTTTTTTAAAAATTTTGGAAAAAAAAAAGAAAAAAAAAATTTGGGCAGCCCGGGTGGCTCAGCGGTTTAGCGCCGCCTTCAGCCTGGGGCATGATCCTGGAGACCCGGGATCTAGTTCCCTTGTCGGGCTCCCTGCGTGGAGCCTGCTTCTCCCTCTGCCTGTGTCTCTGCCTCTCTCTCTGTGTGTCTTTCATGAAAAAAGAAATAAAATATTTTTTAAATATTTATTTATTTACGAGAGACACAGACACGGGTAGAGGGAGAAGCAGGCTCCCTGCAGGGAGCCTGATGTGGGACTCAATCCCAGGTCTCCAGGATCACGTCCTGGGCCGAAGGCTGCGCTGAACCTCTGGGCCACCCAGGGCTCCCCTGAGAAGATTTTTTTTTTAATTTTTTTTTTTATGATAGGTACACAGTGAGAGAGAGAGACAGAGACATAGGCAGAGGGAGAAGCAGGCTCCATGCACTGGGAGCCCGACATGGGATTCGATCCCGGGTCCCCAGGATCGCGCCCTGGGCCAAAGGCAGGCGCCAAACCACTGCGTCACCCAGGGATCCCCCTGAGAAGATTTTTAAAAGCTTCCACAATTATAACTTTCTGGTATTGGCTCTTGAATTGTCAGACCAGCAGAAGAAAATAGAAAGTCAGAAATACTATAAAAAACAGAGGGAGGGGATCCGTGGGTGGCTCAGCGATTTAGAGTCTGCCTTCGGCACAGAGCGTGATCCTGGAGACCTATAGGATCGAGTCCCACATTGGGCTCCCTGCGTGGAACCTGCTTCTCCCTCTGCCTGTGTCTCTGCCTCTCTCTCTGTGTGTGTCTCTGGTGAATAAATAAATAAATAAAATATTTTTTAAAAAAGTTTTCTTAAAAAATACAGAAGGAAATTTAGTGAGTAATAGTCGCCAATCACTGGGGTAAAAATGGACTTTTTAGGGACGCCAGAGTGGCACAGCGGTTTAGCGCTTACTTTCTGCCTAGGGCGTATCCTGGAGTCCCAGGATCGAGAAGCACATCGCTCCCTGCGTCAAGCCTGTTTCTCCCTCTGCCTCTCTCTCTCTCTCTCTGTCATGAATAAATTAATAACATTTTAATGGACTTTTTAATAAATAACCTTGGAGAATAACCGGATAGTCATTTAGGAAAAAGTAAAATTGGATTCATACTTCACATCATGCAAAAGAATAAACTCCAAATCGATCAGAAGTCTAAATTCATAAAAGTACCAGAAGCAAAAGGAGTTGAATTTCATCGTAGCCTGAGTGTGTGGAAAGACTTTCTAGTTATGAAAAAAAAAAAAAAAACAAACCTAGACTTAGAGAAAAGACTGCTATCTTTGAGAATAAAACTAAAGCACTTTTTTTTACAGTAAAATACATCATAAGCAAAGGAAAAAACAAACAAAAAAAAAAACGACTGGCAGAGAATATTTACAACCTTGTATATATCAAATAACATATAAAGACAACAGCCAAAAAACTTCAAGCAACTTCTGAATTAATTTAGAAGATTTGGGGCAGCCCGGGTGGCTCAGCGATTTAGCGCCGCCTTTGTCCCAGGGCGTGATCCTGGAGAGCTGGGATCGAGTCCCGCGTCAGGCTCCCTGTGTAGAGCCTGCTTCTCCCTCTGCCTGTGTCTCTGCCTCTTTCTCTGTGTGTCTCTCATGTGTGAACAAATAAAATCTTAAAAAAAAATTAGATTTGTCCTCATAATAACATAGGTGTAATGATTTAGAAACTATTTTGTATGCATTGTAGGACTGAATAAACATATTGATGGAAACTAGTGTTTTACTGTGGCACAAGAGAGATATAAATAAAGGTGATGGAAGGTAAGGAAGAACCTGTGATGTTGGATTGATATAAACTCATGATTTAAAATTTGAGTGTCTTATCTAACTCCAGTGCTCAAGGTTAACATCAATATTGATAGTTCATACTCTTTTTTTTTTCAGTTTTTTTTTTCAGGATAGTTCATACTCTTGATGATATATTATGAAAATGGCATTCAACCTCTGTGGTCTCGATCTCCAAAACACATACCCTAGTGTAATAACACATCAGACAAATACCAATTCAGGAACATTCTACATAAGAACTGACCAGGAAAAAAAAAAAAAAAGACCTGACCAGAACTCCTCAAAACTGTAAAGGTCGTTAAAAACCAGGAAAGTCTGAGAAACCATTACAATGAAGAGAAGCCTAAGAGGGTGTGACTGCTAAAAATAATGTATCTTGGGATCCCTGGGTGGCGCAGTGGTTTGGCGCCTGCCTTTGGCCCAGAGCTCAATCCTGGAGACCCGGGATCGAATCCCACGTCGGGCTCCCGGTGCCTGTGTCTCTGCCTCACTCTCTCTCTCACTGTGTGCCTATCATAAATAAAAAAAAAAAAAAAATAATGTATCTTGAAAGAGATCCTGAAACAGACAAAGGGCATTACATTAAAAACTATGAAAAATGGGATGCCTGGGTGGCTCAATGGTTGAGCACCTGCCTTTGGCTCAGGGCGTGATTCCGCAGTCCTGGGATGGAGTCCCACATCCGGCTCCTTGCATAAAGGCTGCTTCTCCCTCTGCCTGTGTTTCTGCCTCTCTCTGTGTGTCTCTCATGAATAAACAAAATCTAAAAACAAAAAAAACAACCTAGGAAAACTCCATATGAATAAAGTATGGAAATTAGTTAATAATAACATATCAATGTTGGTTCATTAATTGTAACACAAGCACTATACTAACATAAGATGTTAACAATAGGGGAAACTAGGTACAGGGTATTTGGGAACTCTGTACTATCTTTGCAGCTTTTCTGTAAAACAAAAACATTTAAAATAAAACTTGAATTTCCTCATTAAAGTCTTAACTATTTCTTTTCAAAAAATGTGGTTTTGTATTTTCTGTTTCTATTTGGTGAATGATGCCTTGAAGTAATGAGCATAAACCTAGTGCCCAGACCTTGGTTTCTAAATACCATTCTCTAAGAAAAGAAACCAAAGCTTCTTGAAGTATCTGATTCTAGGACTAGGGCAAGGAAAGTACATGATAACAAAACTAGATAATGTGTAGGAAACAAGTCTTTTCAGATATTGGACAAGTAGTACAAGACTTTGATCCCTGAGAGAAGAGAAATAAATGAGATCCTATAATTGCAATGGCTTTCTCTCTGAAGACATATTACATTCCACAAAATAGAGAGGAGGAACCAAGACAGAGCACTGATTAGCTAAGTTGACACAAACCAATAGTTTCAAGAAACCAAAGTGACTATATTTATGGGACAGAGTGTGGAAGAGGAGTTGGTATTTCCATGAAACCAGACCTCAGTACCTGTGGGTGGAAGAAACTCTACCTCTGCCCTCTGAATTATG